GCAGATCTGAATACAGATTTGTGGATTTTTTACACATTTGCAAATCTCAGTACACATTTGCAGATCTGAATACAGATTTGTGGATTTTTTACACATTTGCAAAACGGATTACACACAAGTAGTTTTACACATTTGCAGATTGTTGTACAGACACACAAATCTCCTCACACATTTACAGATTTATTTACACATTTTCAAATCCCACTGCACACACACAAATCGAGATACAGACACACAACTCTCCACACACATTTGCAAATATTAAAGCTACCATTTTGGCCCCATAGAAACGCGCCTAGAAAAGAGATTTGTCCAAAAACTTCAGACAAAAAGATCACCGCCTTGCACAAACAACACTGGAAAAAAATAATACAACAACTTTCGGAATTTGATTAAACATATTTAGTTACTTTAACACAATTGCTTCATGTTAGCAGGGTATGGCATAAAACAATTATGTTACCAAAACCGGTTGCATTATTTTTTTCAGGTAGCAAAAAGATAAGAATGAATCTGAGACACAATCTGAAATATGTAGCTCCACTACCTGAATGTGGTAGATAGATGATGGTAGCCACCATATTAGACTGGAAAACACACCAGAAACTAGGCTTGGCGTCAGTTACCGCAATAAAACATGTAGTAAAATTCCTTAGTTTTTGAACTCTGAAATATTCACTACTCTGGGACATTTTAATTTCCTTGTGGGCTGTGTGGCAAAATGGATTTAATCAACCATCAGGAAATTCTAAATGTCAGCATATTTGTGGGAAATAAACATTTTCAGTCTTTATTATCCTTTAAACCAGACAACTATCCCAAGAATAGACCAAAGTCCACTAAGGTTGGTTTCAGAGGAGATCCTAAAAAAACTTAGACTTAAACATGTAAAAATCTGTGGTGGGAGTCGAAGAGGGGTTGCAGCACTCAAAGTAATGAATATTCATGATTCTAAGGCATTCTCTCATCATGAGTGGGCAAAAATTCCCCAGGAATGCAGCTAGAAACTTGTATTTGGCTACGAATGACACTCAGCGCAGTTTGTAGCAACAGGGGCCTCTGTCAAACAGTTAAGCTGTTTGTCACTATAGGAAAGTTTTGGTTAATTTGGGAAAAACAACCTGTGATATTAGTTGTGTTGAGCTATTTTATTCTGTCTGCTTTAGCTACAAGTTAACCTCATTTATTGTTGGGCTGGATAATTTTAGGTAGAGCTATATCCGTAATTATACTGACACATCATGAATTATATAGCCCACAGTTACGTTAGAGGAAGTTGAGTCCTGAAGATGAGTCAAAAAAAGGAAATCATGTTCATAGGGGGTCATTATACAAGCAAAGCAGGAGGGGGGAGAAAATGAGCAAGAGGAGGAGAACTAATTCTATCATATGACACTTGTGCTAAAGCAATACATCTCATGTTTAAAAGTAATGGAGATAGAAGATAGAAGAGTTCAGCCAAATCTCTGTAGAGGGGCATTGGGACATAGAGATAGTGGACCCCTACAAGTACCTGGGTGTTCATCTGAATAACAAACTGGACTGGACTCCCAACACTGAGGCTCTGTATTAGAAAGGTCGGAGCAGACTCTTCCTGCTGAGTTCTTTTGCGCTCCTAAAGACCTTCTATGACTGTTGTGACATCAGCCATCTTCTATGGAGCTGTCTGTTGGAACAGTAGCTAATCTGTAGCTGATCAGGAAGGCCAGCTTTGTGATTGGATGCCCTCTCCACTCAGTGCAAAAGGTGGGAAACAAAAGGATCCTAATTAAATTAACATCTCTATTGGACAATGTCTAACACCCTATGCATAAATATATTGCTAAATTTCAGTGACAGACTGACCCTAAATGCACCAGGGATCATTATCACAGATCCTTCCTCCCAGCAGCTGTAAGACTCTTTAACCACCACTTAGGTAAAAGCTTATTTAGGTTGTTCCAAACAACCTAAATACATTTTTACATTCATGCAAATTTTGCACAGTTTCTGTCTTAAGTCAGTTAAATTAACATGCTGCTGTCATTTTGCACAACTGTCAAATATCCATTACTGTAAAAAAATATGTCCATAGCTGTACATTGGTTATTTATTTTCCAGATGCACAGTTTTATGTTGTTAAAACACTTTACAGTACAGTATTTTATTGTATATCTTCCAACTCGTCACTGTTATGTTATTCTTATACATTTTTCTAAGGTCCATATATTTGTGACACCAGAAGTTCCCCATTGTGGGACAGTAAAGGGATTTTCTATTCTATTCTATTCTATTCTATTCTATTCTATTCTATTCTATTCTATTCTATTCTATTCTATTCTATTCTATTCTATTCTATTCTATTCTATTCTATTCTATTCATGATAGATACAGTAAAGGTGAACATGTCATCTGATACCTTTTAAATGTCCAGCAGTTTGTTACAGGATTAAATTGCAGGAGAGAAAATTACGTACCTAGAGAAGAACAAGAAAGACCTGTTGTGGTAAATGACCAACCTAAAGACAACTAACACAGCCAGTCAGTGACCATGTAGTTTGTGAATTTTGTACATTTAAATGTGACTAGTTTCATGAGGTTTCAACTACAGCATAGATGCAAATCATCATTGGATTTCTCTCACTTCCTCCAAGGTGTCAGAAATGTAGAATGTTGAGGTAGGGGCCTCTCAGATAGTTTTAATTTTTTGTAAGAACATTTTTAGTTCACGTTTCCCAAATGAATGTCTGATCTAACAAGTACAGAAGAAGCACTTCATTACTTAATGTCTGAATAGCAATTTTTGATTTATTGTCACCATATGTAGATGATAGGACAATCCAAAAAAGTAATCAGTCAGTCCAGGACATTAAATCAATGTAATACTCATCCATTATAACCCTGAAACCATGGTTTGGTAGTTTTTAGAGTTGTTATTTTTCTTTGTTTGGTTTTAGTTTTTCTTTTGTTCTAGTTTTTATCAAAGTTCTAATAGGACGTTTAGTACTCTCAATATTTGTATCTTATTCTTCTGATTATTTTGGACTAAACCGCTCATTGTTGGGTTAAAATAAAAATACAACACATACAAATATTTTATACAACTCCACTAAAATTTAGAAAAAATGTAATTTAAAAGGTTTAAAGTTTAACCACAACCCAGTCCTAATATTTAGCAATCTGTACGTTTTTGACATGGCGATGCCAGGGTGTTTAAGCAATTCTCTAGTCTTAATTAGGCTGGTTTCACTGATCTAGGTAATGTACTGGTATATCTTTTTTTTTTCAAACTTTAGCTCAAGAGATTTCAAGAAGGTTGATTCTCAATTCAAATCAATTCAAAAATACTTCACTTATCCCAAAAAGGGATATTCAGTAAATTCACTTTAGCCGACTTTACCCGTCTGAAATCAGGTTTTACGTGTTTGGCACGGTTGGCATGTTACAACAGCGAGCTGTAGACATGTTCTGGCCGTACCACACAAACTGCCACTTTCAGATTAAAGTAAGGTGTTTGTGTTCTTCAAGTACAACCCAAAGAAAACCTATAGGGGGAAACAGACTGGAGTATACTGAAATACAATGTCACAATTCATAGTGAAGGACATTAAAAAAACCTCTTGATGGTTCCCTGCTAAAAAAAAACAAAAAACAAAAAAAACCTTGCCCTATATGTGTAAAGTGCAAACTCTACTAAATTTGCAGCAATAAAAACAATAGGCAGGTTTGAGATATTTGGCCAGTTACAAGAGGTATGCATTTAAATAAGAACAATTTTTAAGTATGTTACCGGCATGGGGTTGTTTTACTGTAAGTGGAGCACAACAAAACAAATGATCTGACTTCACCTCTAATCAATAGTTTTTAAATCACTGTATAACTACACCAACCTGCAATACGAACAGAACCAAATAACACAAAACATAATTAGACCCCTAAAATAATTTAGATCATCCCATAATAAGCAAACCTTGGACTCTAAAGATATATATGAGAAGAGAAAGCTGAAAGTCCATATATAAAAAGGGTTGCGGTTTTGGTGTTTTTGGACTTTCCTCCAAAAAGGAAGTGTTTTGACAACTTAAAGGTTGGTAACAAATATAGCTTAGCATCCATTTTCTAAGTGTTTGAGCATGTCACGTTGACATGTTAATGTTGTTTTTCATGGCCTGTGCAAAATCCTTAAACTTGTGCAATAACCAGGGGTGACTAAACATTGTTCTGAGAAAAAAAGTTTATTACCATCAAACTCCATACTGAGGTCTTAAAATTGTGCAAATTTAAAACCATCTTTTACAAGAGTTCACTGGACTGAATGACCCCTTTCCTGTTTTATTGCACTGTGTAAACAATAAAACATATATTGACGTAGAAAAGTGAATCATATTCATCAGGATAAAAGATGCCTTTGTTCTGAGCTTTTTCCCCCATCCCAGAATAAGAAATGCAACCTTTACTTTGGAAAACCTAATACATTGTTTCCATTTTTTATTCTATTTTACTATTATTTTCAAACACTCCTTCAGCTAACACATTTTTTTTTCAGTAAGTTCTTAATTTCTTTACCATTATGAAATGAAACAGACAACAGAAAGGGGCAAAAGTAAAAAAAAAAAAAAAAAGAAAATGGAAAGAAATTACTGAAGCAATGTTTAACAATAGCGAAGAGGCAATTTGTCTTTTTAGTCATTTACTTCCTGGGAAAGGCTCACTGCTACCGATTTTCAATGCTAAGAGCCCTTTGGCTGCTTTATCGAGGTTTTTTGTCCACAGGATTGAAGATAAGTGCTTTCCAGACAGTGCAGACATATTTTCTGCTCAGCTTTGCTCATGTTGACATCCCTAATCTGTTGCTACAAAGCCCCTTTGTGTCTCATTGTTAATTCATCCTAAATCTGTCCGTTTTAGACAGTTTGTTTTATACAGTTCAACATAAATCAAATATGAAACCCAAAAATTAATGGACATGACATCCACAGCCCAATACCATGTGAGTAGAAATGTAAATAAGTTTAACTTACCGGTGAATTAGAAAAATAAACAACAACAAAAGAGAGGGCTGAGATGCTTCTCTGTTCAGTCTTCCTGGGCCAGAATGATAAGGAAGTGCAGCAAGTCTCGGACTAAATTGTAGCTGTTAAAGTTATACAGTAGTAGCATGACCATCTGATTCTTCCCCTTTCACACAACAGATTTGATTTAATGGAACCATGTGGTTCCGCCCTCCTTTTTTTCCACCTACCATGTGACCAGGGCAAACAGCAATAAAACATAAAGCAATGCAATGCTTACTTCAAAGATCTTCAAGCATATATCTATTATGATACCAAGAAGCAAACAGAATATATCAAGCATCATATTTATATTCAATATTTAACAATCAAATTGGTCTTTGATCATGACTTTGCCTTTTAAGGTATTTTACATATCTTAAAGGCAACAATATTTTTCACAACTGAATCTTTACCTTTTAAGATCTTTAATTTTTAGATAACACACTGCAAAGAAACAAAAACTTTTTTATCTGAATAACAGAGTTAAATATTGCTTTTTCATCAACTCTGGTTCTCTGATATTCAACAATAGTAAAACTTATAGGGGCATTTTAATAACTTTCAAAAAGAGAGGAAATATCTATTCTTGTTCCAAGTTCTCTGCATCTTACACAACAAAAACTACTTGCTAGTTTCTTCAGTGTCCACAAAACTTTCAGCATTTCTGCATGATTTTCAATCCAGGGTATAAAAGACAGATGCTTGAATTGTTCAGAGGTCACAGGACTGTCATGGGGACAGTAGTTCCCCATGACAGTCCTGTGACCTTTGAAGATTCCTGGAATGACTTGCAATGTTTCCACCAAGAATAAATTATATCTAAATATTTTGTTCTAAATGCACACTGGTATCAGGTAGGTTTTGGATGTGCCTCTGTTTCTATATAGTTTCTATGCAGTGGATATGACTGCCCACAGTGTCGCTACGCAATCTGTACTATCTACACGCTGCGGCTTCAGTATCACTGGAGGGCTCAGAAAGCTGCCTTTAAAACAGGAGATCAAATCAGCCTGAGGACAGCAAGGCCCAACCTTTCACGAGGTATAAGAGAGGCCAAGAGGCAGTACTTCAGGATGATAGCCCATCGCTTTAGTGACAGCAGGGACCTATGCAGCCAATGGCAAGGGTTACAGTCAATGATGGTCTAGAATCCCCCAACGCAGACCAGTGATGACATCGTCCCTTTGCTGAATGAGCTTAATGGCTTCTTTGCCAGCTTTGGGGCAGTGAACATTACGCCTGCACAAAAATCCCCATCTTGATTAAACTATGCATGGAAGTGTGAGTACAGCACTCTGCATGATCAAAGCACGAAAATGTTCTGGTCCTCACAAAATTCCTAGCTGTGTACGAAGGGAGGCTTGCTGCTGCTGTGTTAACCTTTCCTTAATTATTTTTGGTCAACTCAGCTTGCGCCTAGGCTGCCCAGGTTCTGGGGCAGGCATAGCAAAGAAGGCCCTACTTCATCTCACCATAAGTCTGTTGAAAAGCAAAACTAAATAATTCATTGAGGTCATACCTTATTGTACAAAAATCTGTTTTGATTTAGACCATCACAAACTGAAAATTCCATTTTCTTTTATTCTGTACCATTTTCTTGTTTCTTTTTTATTTATTTATTTATTTTTTTTACATTATTTGTATTTGTGTGTTTCTTTTTGCTTGTGTGTTTACTTTTTTTTATTGTTTTTTAATGTACACTGGTTTTATTTTTGTTCTTGGTATTTCCCACTGAGTTTATGATTGTCATATTGCAATGCATGCACATGCACAGGGAGAACATGCAAACTCCATGCAGAAAGACCCCGGGATCGAACCCAGAGTCTTCTTGCTGCAAGGCAGCTGTGCTACTCACTATGACACTGTGCAGCCCTCAATGACAAATTGTTCAGAGAAATGTATTTGTCACAGCATTGAAGAGGATTTACGTGAAGAGTATAAACATAATCTTTTGATTAAAAAAAATTACATATTCCTGGATACATTTTTTTTTCTCACAACAACCATGGTATAACAGGAAAGTTTCTTGTACAGTTGCCTTGCAACAAGAAAAGCTTAGAATTGTACCTCTGGGATTTTTTGCATTGTTTGAATGTCCTCTCTGTGCATATTTTCCAGCTTTCTCCCACAGTATAAAAACAAAACTGTTTGGCCATTTGCTTATGAGTAAATTGCCCTTAGCTATACAATTGTGGGTGTTTGTTGTCTCTACGTTGCGCTGTAATTAGCTGTCTAAAGTGTACCGTCCCTCCTCTGATCTGAGTGATCTTGCACCCCTCCAACACACACAATCTTTCTTCAAATCTAACAAATATTGTGTTAGAGGTTTCTGCTACATTTTTGCAAGTTTGTGCACCAGTTTAATATTTGCATTACTATTATTTTTAAGATTTGTTTTTCTTTTAAACCCTATATAGCAATCCTAAGCACTGGTCAGGGTATTATACGTCATATACGGCCTATATATCAGCATTACAAATACCCACTTCATATGCCCACTTCTTCATCCCCCGTGATTCGCACTATTAAGCAGAATCTGGAGTAAAGACACTTGAAAAGCTGAGCTTCAATACACCCCTCTGCAACTAGTTGCTAGACTTCTTCACAGGCAGACCTCAGTCAGTCCGGGTCGGACAGAACACCTCTGATGTCATCGCCTTAAGCACAGGCTCTCCTCAGGGCTGCGTACTGCGTCCTTATAACGTTCACGCCACTACATTTTAAAGTCAAATATTGTATTTTCTACTCCATTACATTTCTTTGAAGCTTTTGCAACTTGTTCCTCTTGGCTCGGTTTAGCTTTGTAATGCGCTGTTGCTGTTCTTCTTTTTTGAAATGCAATTTCAACATCCAAGATAGCAGCCCTTAAGATTGAATTCGGACACCACTGTTTTAGAGATTTGCATGAAATTCCGCAAATGTGAGAAACTCAGGGCAGATAGTATTTGTATTTTTTAAATTTTATTAAGGTTTTAGTTGTTGCCATGTGGCCAAGTTGTTCAGTAGGATGAGATTTCACATCAGAGTTCTAGTTTCTTTGCGGTCATAGTTTCAACCTTAAACCTATATTCCACAGTGAAAGTGTAAAGAGGATCCAGACACCCTTTTTTTTCTGGTTTGTTTTAGAATAATACATAATAATCAAAATAGCTGTCCTTATTTTTTGTGGTATTTTTATGCCGAAGTTCTTTACAGGTGGTGTATTCAAAGCAGGAAGTTATATGCTTGAATAGATCAGGTGGTTTCTAAAAGTTATTCGTAACTGCTGCGAATCAGCTGTTCAAAGAGACAGTTTACAAAATAAACTACTGGATTGCAAAGTGAGAGAAAAGGTGTCATTCATGAGGTATGGACTCAGGAATAAGAAATAGTTCACTCAAAATCCAAAATCTCACTGGGCCAGTGTTTAGTTATTCATGATCCATGAGATCAAATGGCAGACATTATATGACAATAAGCAAATACTACTGATGAATTATTGGGTAAATTAAATAAAGTGGTCTTGAATGTCATTGTTTCTGAGCTGCATTAAAAAGGGCAACAATTAAGAGTATGCCCACGTCTCCAGGGACCACTACACTACTGCTTCTAAATATTCTAATAACTTTAACCGGTCACATACTCTCCTACAGAAAAGATGCTGTCCTGAACACCAGGATCTTAACACTTGAACTACTGATAAATTCCATTATGATCATGTCTTCTTTAAATGTCTTAGCCTGAACCCTACATTCCATAAATACTGAACTCCTGGTGGGCAAAGCCATTCTCTCATTTGTTGTTATGACATTGTACTCATGTGTTTACCCCACACTATCAGCTTTTATAAAAGTCTAGATTCTGTCTTTCCTAAAAACTGTAAAAGCTAGATTTACTGCTGTCAGCTTCTCTGTTTCCCCTGAGTCAGTCCCATCTTTCATACTTTCTGAATTGCTTGTTAACATTAAATAACTGAAAACTCCCGCTAGCTCCTTTAAGCACTTACATATATACAGTGGGGCAAAAAAGTATTTAGTCAGCCACCAATAGTGCAAGTTCTCCCACACAAAAAGATGAGAGAGGCCGGTAATTTTCATCATAGATATACCTCAACTATGAGAAACAAAATGAAAAAAAAAAAAAATACAGAAAATCACATTGTCTGATTTTTAAATAATTTATTTGCAAAATATGGTGGAAAATAAGTATTTGGTCAATAACAAAAGTTCATCTCAATACTTTGTTATATACTACGGTGGCTGGGAAGTGCAAATCAACAATACAAAATCTGAAACACTTTTAAAAATCATAAAACAACTTTACATTTGAGATAACAAATTTACAACAAACGAAACACTTTTACAAATCATAAAACAAATTTACATTTCAGAAAACAAAATTACAACAAACGAAACACTTTTACAAATCATAAAACAAATTTACATTTCAGAAAACAAAATTACAACAAACGAAACACTTTTACAAATCATGAAACAAATTTACATTTCAGAAAACAAAATTACAACAAACGAAACACTTTTACAAATCATGAAACAAATTTACATTTCAGAAAACAAAATTACAACAAACGAAACACTTTTACAAATCATAAAACAAATTTACATTTCAGAAAACAAAATTACAACAAACGAAACACTTTTACAAATCATAAAACAAATTTACATTTCAGAAAACAAAATTACAACAAACGAAACACTTTTACAAATCATAAAACAAATTTACATTTCAGAAAACAAAATTACAACAAACTTAATACTTTTACAAATCATAAAACAAATTTACATTTCAGAAAACAAAATTACAACAAACGAAACACTTTTACAAATCATAAAACAAATTTACATTTCAGAAAACAAAATTACAACAAACGAAACACTTTTACAAATCATAAAACAAATTTACATTTCAGAAAACAAAATTACAACAAACGAAATACTTTTACAAATCATAAAACAAATTTACATTTCAGAAAACAAAATTACAACAAACGAAACACTTTTACAAATCATAAAACAAATTTACATTTCAGAAAACACTTTTACAACTGACAAAATCTGACGGAAAGGGAGGGACTGTCTTCGAAGCTTACCCGGAAGTGATAACCGGAGAGTTCATGCAGGATGGAAGCT